CATTTTGTCTCTCATAGTTGAGGTCTACCTAAGATGTCAATTACAGGCCTCTCTCATCTTTTTAAGTGGGAGAACTTGCACAATTGGTGACTGACTAAATACTTATTTTCCCCACTGTACGTGTTTTAAAACACTAATTTCTTCATTATATTTCAAACTCCTCCAGCTCAGTTGTCTCTGCACTCGCAGCCCTGTTGACACAGGTGCGATGACGTAATGATGATAGGACGGTAGAGGGTAAATTTCTACTGTAGGCCAACTTCATACCGTTTCTGTCTACTGCATATACTGTGCAGCCCTAATATAAATATATAAATAAAAATTAACCAGCCTTTTCTGTACACACTTAATTACCCCGGATTTATACTGCATGCGTCTCCGCTGCGCAGGRCGCAGCTGAGCGTTTCAAGTCCAGTTTACACCACCTCCGCTCCAGTCCYACAGACGTGCAGGAAGCAGATCGCGCGATAAATTCAGTGATAAATGTGGAAGTCGCAACAAAAAATTAATTCTGTGAAAGACGAACTCCAAACACAGCTGAAAACAACAATATAAAGGCTTTTGGTATCTATGGTTGAAACTGTCTCGCCGTCGGCTTTCTGAAACTTCTGATTTCAAAATAAAATCCACATGTATCGTGTGTCCACACATATGCTACATGTTTCCATCTGCTTCCCAAGCAGAACGATACATTCTGACAGCATTTGTGTAGAAATATATCAGTATATTTATTAATATAGCTGCAATTTCGACATTATTCGGACAAATTATTCCGCCGAATAGTGTCTTATTTTGAAAATACAGATGTTGTGCTCGTGTCTTTTCCTGTTGGTACGACATAATCTTTAAAAATTGACTCCGGCGCTGCTCCGGCATCCAGCAAAAATAGGATCTGTTCTAATTTTGACGGATGGCCGTCCGCTCACCGCCACACTGCGCAGCCAGTGTAAACACTCTCATTGATTATAATGGGTGTGTATTTGCTGCGGAGGTCGGACCGGAGCGGAGACGGAGACGGAACGCAAGCAATGTAAATTGGGGGTTAATGTACATACTAAACAAGTACACTAGTTACTGCAGGTAGGACTGGGTTTCAAAAAGAATCATCTTTCAGCTCACACATCCTCTCTTGTCTCTRTTAGGTCWTCACTTGGCACCAGCAGACAGATTTATCCACATGGAAATAAAAGCATGAAAGGCCTCTGAGCAGCTCAACAGAACCTGTTCACATCAGAGATCAGCCTGAGCGAGGCAGCAGAACCATGCAGTGGAGACGACGCCATTGCTGCACGCACACTGCCAAACTTGTGTCCCTCCTCTCACTGTTGGGTGTGCTGGTCTTTCTGGTCCACCAAGTGTGGCTCCCCAAGCTCACCGGCATGCCGTGGAGGAGAGGCTATCCTGTGGTCTACAGAGGTGGGCTCCTTCCAATCTCCAAGTCCAAATGGAACACGAGCGTCCCACATRCAGCGTGGAGATTTGTGATCGTTCCTCAGCCGACTTCCCTGGCTGAGGCCAATATCAGCTCTCAGGAGCGGCGGGGTGGTATGTACCGTCAGGTTGACTCAACTTTAGAGAACAGTCCGACGGCCAACACCAGTCAAAGTCAAGAAGCAYACCTTAATGATACGGTAACCAAAGGGCCTTTCCCTTACACCATCAATGAGCCAGACAAATGTGCAAAGAAGAAACCAGTGATGTTTTTGGTGCTGCTAATTGCCACTGAAGCTCGACAGGTGGAAGCAAGGAACGCCATACGGCAGACGTGGGGGAATGAGAGCATCGCCTCTGATTTGGGGCTCATCAGACTATTTCTGCTGGGGAAAACCGAAGGAGAGCTAGGACTTCTCCAACAAAACATGTTACAGGCAGAGAGCCGGAGGCATCATGACATCATTCAGCAGGACTTTCTGGACTCCTACAAAAACCTGACATTAAAGACGTTGATGGGACTGAACTGGGTGGCGACGCACTGTCCACAGGCAAGCTACGTCATGAAGACTGACAGCGACATGTTCGTCAACACGGAGTACCTCATTTATAAGCTGCTCAGGCCAGAACTGAAGGCCAGGAAGAACTACTTCACAGGCAGCAACATGAGAGGCTTCGCACCCAACCGAAACAAAAACAGCAAGTGGTACATGCCGCCAGAGGTGTACCCAGGAGACAAGTATCCCACCTTCTGCTCTGGGACCGGTTATGTCTTTTCTGGAGACCTGGCCAGGAAAATCTACCAAACCTCTTTGACTGTACGCCCCCTGCACCTGGAGGATGTGTACGTAGGAATGTGTCTGGCCAAGCTCCGAATTGAGCCCTTGCCTCCACCCAACGGGTTCCTCTTCAACCACTGGCGGGTTTCTTACTCCAGCTGCAAGTACAGCCATCTGATAACATCACACGGGTTTCATCCAAATGAGCTCCTCAAATACTGGAACCACCTTCAGAGCAACAAACGCAACGCCTGCATCAACACGTTTAAAGACAGAACAGGCAGGACACACTCTAACAGAAGGACCGGAGCCAGAAAAGCTCATTAARACCTCTGTAAACACAAAGATGGATTTTATACATCAGCTGAAACTTATCCTGACTGGATATGAAGGGATTTAGGACCCTGGTAAATCATTCATCTGCCAAAATAATTGTGTGTGAAACCTGCCAGTGTGCCCCACAGTTACTGTCAGATTTCTGCAAAAAGCTGTTTCTGCAAGACTGGAGAAAACTCATGCACAAAAACCTGTCATTTGATAAACCACGATTAAATTCACTGCGGTGGAAAAAAAATTCCTCTGAAAGATGAAATCTGTTCTACGTGACGATTCAAATGTAAAAGATCACGTCAAAAGGAAGTGAAACATTTTGTGCTGGTTGAGGTTATTTAGATGTATAAACAGAGTAACATCGTAAACTGGCTGACAAACACGCTCACACAGGCAAAAACATCATTACTCCTGTTTTTTTTTTTGCTTTGAAGAGAGGGGTAATAAAACTCTAGCAGAGTAAAGAAACAAAATTAAATTCAGAAGCAGAGCTGCAACTGCTGCTGATCTTTATCTAAAAGTGAAGAACATTCAGACTTTGAACTCTAAATTTAGCACTTGGTTTCCTGTATGTGCTGCCTGTTCATTAAACATTCAAGCAATGTTAACTGTTCATTTACTGAGCATATTAAAGAGCAGAGGTTTTCAGTTATCAGAGCTCGGTGGTCTTACCGTCACAGACTTCAGCGTCATGCCGTGGTACGTGCCCATGGTATCGATTTTAAAACCCTCCGTTTCTGCAAAAACACAACGATGCAATGAGTTATTCTGAAAAATAGTAAGTTCAGTTAAAAACATGCAAATTTTCTTTATTACATTCAGGAAAACAGAGTAAACTTTCAAATAATTAGCTGGGTACATTTTTGCTAATGTAGCATTTGGCATAAATAATTACAAACAGCCAAATTTTATTTATTTTCGCCATTGGCTGTTTTATTGTTGAATAAATCAAACTATTGAAGTTTAGATGTTCTTCAGATTCTATCAGTATCATTTTATTCTGAATTTTCTTCTCAAATATTGTGATTTATAAGTGTCAGACAAACCTGCATTTAAAYCCATATTTGAAAAAGTCTATTCAGTTGATTTTACTCTGACTTCTTACCTGTGTCAGTATCCATCTGTTGGCTTGAATCTGTTAGRACTGCAGTTATTTGTAACTTGATTTAGCACAACTGGATTTATTCAGCCCCCAGAAATATGTTCCACTTAAAGCTGAATTAGTTTGCTTTTTTAAAAACACAGAAGAATTTTACTCCGACTCCCCACAGTGACGATATTTGTCTGACTTGATTTGCCACAAATTTGTTTAACCTGTTTTAATTTGATTTTAACCTGAAACGGGGCATGACAGGAGACCAGTCGTGACATCTGTTCTGACTTTGCACTGACAGACTGACGCCTGAGGGCTCAAAAAACAACCAGAACAGACTTTAAACAGAAGAGAAACTTATTGATTATCACCCTGGAAACCCAGTGGTTCATATAATCCTCATCAGAGCAACAGTTTTACTGAAAAGTATTCCAATAAAATGGGTAAATAAAACTTTTAATTAAAAAAAAGTTTCTTCAAAATGTTCCGAACTGAGCCAATTTTAAAAAACACCTTTTATTATTATTATTATTATTATTATTATTATTAGACACATCCAGGTAAAACATCAGCTTCTTAACAGCACACAGATAAAAACACGACCTTTGCTTTGAGTGAAGACGTCTTTAATGCATACTGAGACCATTCATACCTGTTTAACACCAAGGGCGGAATGGGTAATCGGAACAATCGGGACGAATCCCGCTGGGCCGGACCATTAATGGGCCGGTCCGATGGGCGCAGTTAGTACGGGGATGATAGGACGAAAGAAATCTCCGACCAAAAACTGATGATGAACTTCTGTAGTTCGCTGACGCTCCCACAGAGCTGCTCCCCCTCCCTTTTTCACACACAGAGCAGCCCGCTCCTCCCTCCCTTCCTCTTTGTGACAGTGCGGAGCAGTGTCGCACACACAGTCAAGAGTTGATTCTTCTATTCTTGTGGGGACTTTGCATTAGTGCTGGGCGGTATACCGTTTTGTGCCGAAAACCGGTTTTTATTTTTGTTATATGAATTTTCAGTACACCYGTTTTTATAAACCTTGGAACGTGCGCGCCAATGTCCTGTTTCACCACGGACCGTTTTCATTGCTACACCGCTGAATGCACATGCAGCAGTTGCGAGTGTTGRGGKGGAGGGTGAGAGTGTGAAAAGCGATGATACAGCTGAAGGAGCGGTGGCAGATGTACCATTTGAGAACGATAGCCAAGAAGAACTTGTGCCTAAAAGAGGGGCAGTTTCTTTTGTGTGGAATTATTTCGGCTTCAAAACCTCAGARGCCAATCAAACGTCAGTTATTTGTAAAGTCTGTCGAAGTAAAATTGTTGCCGCTGGCGGCAACACAAGCAATCTGCAACACCATCTCAGTCGTAAACACAAATTAGAATATGAAGACTTTTTAAAACTTAAAGCAGCTGCTACCACAACCAAACACAGGAAAGCTTCAGCAGGAGGACAGTCAAGTCAAACATCACTTGCAGACGCHTTCGGCAAAGGTACTCCTTACGAGAAAAAAAGCAAGCGGTGGGTTGAAATAACAAACGCCATCACTTTTCACATTGCTAAAGACATGGTCCCGTTAAGCACTGTAGAAAAAGAAGGTTTTCGAGCTCTTGTCAAAACGCTGGATAGCCGCTATACCATACCAAGTCGGAAATATTTTGTCCAAACATCGATCCCCGTATTGTACCAAGAGCGCAGAGAAAAGCTACAAACAGAGGTGGCTACTGTCCCACACTATGCGACGACAGCTCATATGTGGTCAAGCCGCACTATGGAGCCGTATTTGAGCCTGACGGTTCATTTTATTAATGAAGACTGGCTTTTAAAAAGCTACTGTCTCCAGATGAGCTACTTCCCTAATGACCGCACTGGGGAATTGCTTGCTGCAGGCTTGCAGGAAGCACTGGAATCCTGGGGACTTGCAGAAAACAAGCTAGTGGTTTTCACCACAGACAGTGGGGCCAACATCAAGAAGGCAGCCCAAATCAATAACTGGACAAGACTGCAGTGCCTCGGGCACAGGCTTCACACAGCTATAGGTATGTAACAGTATCTGTACAATAATCTTTTATAAACAAATGGGGAAAAAAGTTAAGAATTGTATAATTACTGTATATTAAATTATTTCTATTAATGTATTATTTACATGACATGAAATGTGAATTTTGTATAGTGTGCCTCTGGGGAAGTTATTTGTGGAGGTTATTAATTATAACACTGTTACTTTGTGTCATTTATTATATTACAATTAACATTTTTTGGGTTACAAAACTAGGTGTGGGATGTATACTGGATTTTATTCACTTAATGACTGGTGTAATTGTCCTATATACGTATACAGTAAACTGTATTTTTTATTTTCATTTATTTCTGGTAA